AAACCGACAAGGAAACAAGGACCGGTGTCTCTGCAATACTGTCCATTGTGCAAAGGCTGTTCTTTCAAGGCCGCTTCCTAAAACGAACTCTGACGAGTCCCCACTCATGTAGCAGAAGTGTTGGCAAGGTGGATTCCTTTCTGTAGCACTCCATGTTAGTATGGCAATCCCATTAAGAATCGTCAAAGTGACCCTGGGTGACCCAAGTCGCCAGCAAACTCCCACCACCTCTGTGCGCATCATCCGGGATCTGGGGCACCCCACGGAGGCCGCCACTTCGGGCTTCGGCGCCTTGCGCTTGCGGAAGCGGTCCACATTGGCGAAGAGGAAGTCCGGGCGCTCCACCTGAGAACTGCCCAAACGTTGGAGAGAATGCAGGCGGAGCACGCACCAAGAAGGTTCCAAGGTGGTCCATAGACTAAATTGAGTGCGTGTTTTTGGGAGCAACTGCACAGCCATGGTCAATATTCACTCACAGAGGATTTCGGTGGAACCTCAATCTTAGACCTGAGGGGAGGCAACGGTCGGGCCGCGCGCCTCAATCAAGATGACCTCAGCTTTCGCAAGGCGATGAACGCTTTGCCTACATTGGGACCCCATGAAAGGTGGCTTTGAAAGGGTAACGTCAACCCCGGATTAACAACTCCATCCTAAACATAGGGGGTTCCCTCCAGAAGTGATGAAGCCCGAAAAGGGGACACCCCACACCCCATTATGCCATTAATCCACCAAGGTCCTTTTTCATCCGGGGTCAACACTAGCCTCAAAAAGACCTAAGATGCCTCTCCCCAAGGCTGTTCGGCTGTTCGGATCGGACCACTCAGCCCCGCACCACGCGGCCTCGGGCAAAAGATCCGACTGGGGCCACAAAAGCTTCAGTCGCCCTCCTGAAAACAATGGAGGAAAACAGGCGTTTCGCATACTTTGCCTGCTTAAGCGTCAGAAGCATGGGCATGTTCCCGGCAGCCACTTGAGCCTTTTCAGTGCTCGGCCTGAGCCTTAGCGTTTGGACTTCCTGGATCTAATTATCTGTGTTGCAAAGTATCAAGTTGGGCGGCTCAAAACATGCTATGAGGGACTTGGGATTTCAATGGGGCAACTGTGGAAATTGTCCGTTCGTCCCAAACGCTCTTTTTGTTTGGGGAAGACACCCAAACACCCAAATTCCCCACAAAAGCATGGCCAACCGAATTTCCCCTTCTTTGGGCGACCCCAAAGGTTGTCTTCAAATCTCCCAACAAATAGAACTCACGTAAGAGTCATCTTCACATCTCCCCAGTTCGGTCGCTGGGGCCACGGCGCCGGGGGTTTCGAAGTCCCGGGGGCCGGGAAGGGCTGTTGGGGTCGCTGAGGTAGCGATGCAGGGCCTGGAGGCTTCCGCCCACAGCTTCCAATTTGTATACATATAAATGCTTAGCTGTTTTTGCCTTCTAATGTGCATTTTTATCTTTGCATTAAAGGTTTCCTGTTGGTGGTGGTGTTCCTTTAAACCAACCTGGAAAAGGGTAGCCTCAAACAAACACATACCCAAAAAAAACAGCTTCTCTGTGGTTTGGAGCCCAGTATCAACACTCAAAACCAGATCCAGGGTTCAAATCCCCAAACCACCAATCCAAACCGCTAATCCAAACCACAAATGAAGACTGCCGTGGGCGCGCCTCCAAAAACAAGGAGTTGGCTTCGCCGCAGGTATGCTGCCTCTTTAAAATCCACCAAAAGGGACCGCCCAGGGAATCTTAGTTGAGTGCTGCCCAACAGGATGGGTCAAAAGAATGAGGCAATCAACCCTCAGACAATGCAAAAACAAAACCAGATGGCACTGACTGGTAAATGAACCAAACTGAAAGTGGAAATCCAGCCTCCAGGTCCTGCAGGCTATCCTGGTGGACCTGTTGCAAGAATGGTCACCAAGGTTTTTGTTAGGTTCCTCTTGGTGGAAGGGTAGCCAAAACCGAAAATCACGGCGTCCCCCTCCCAAAAAAGAACCAGATTTCAAGACAAGGGAAGCGCTTGGTCATGAAGAATGCGCAATGGGGGGGGAAGGTTGAGGATTTGGACGAGAAGTGACGGGTTCACAAGACAAGGACCCAAAGAGAGCAACCCAGGTTCCTATGCGATGTGGAGTATCCCATGCCCTCTTGCGAACGTGTTTACAAACGACTCTTCCAGGATCAAGCCTTCTGACAGCTTCTATGAGTATTAGAGGAAAAGGCGCGGTTTTATCACGGAAAGGCAACATCGTGGGAAGCATGAGAATGTGCAGGACGTAAACAAGTCATATTAAATCGATTGGGCTGTTTCTGTAGGATATTCGTGGTAAGAGGCATGCTGCTCGCTCGCCAGCCTGATAGAAGCCACCAATCACCTGCGGTCACTGGAGCCGTGGTCCAGTTGTCTGCTCCGAGGGCGTGAAAGTTCAGTCAGTCCCCCAGGTCCTTCCCATGGATCATAGACTGGCAATTTTGCCCGACATGAGATACAAGGCCGCCATAGAATGGAAAATGGGTCCTGCAAAATGGTCCACCCCTGCTTTCTTTGTTTCTAGTCCCTTGCCTGGGTAGAACTTCGTGCCCTATTGCCCATATGAAGGTTTCGAACCCTCGGACTTCGGAGAGCATGGCCCGCACGGCACAGAGACTTCTGGCGCGCCTTCCCATGCTTGGAAGCTGGGCTGGCCGGCAGCATCTGTTTGGGCAGCTCCCACAAAGCCTTTCGGTTGAGCCGGCGGATTTGTCGGATTCGTCTCGGGGAATGTCCGACCTTCTACCCCAGAGAATGGCTCCAAGTGGGTGCGTCACTTTTTAGGGCACCCTTTTTCGGTTGGTTTAAAGGTGAAACCAACAGGAAACTACCTTTTCGTGTTTTCTTCTCTCTCTTTTTTTGCGGGGCGGGTTCCCATCAACAAAGATCCACGCAAATCACCCAAGTGTCTTTCAGTCATAGTGGGCGCAGAGACAACCCCCTGGTTTAACCGAGTGACTCTCTCCTGATAACCTCCACGTGTGGTATGGTCAAAGCTCCTTACGTGGGCCGTGCGGCGTTATGTCATGTCTTGGAACCCTACCTGTTTTGGAGTTGTGCGCATGGAAACGCAGATTTGAAAAATAAACACCTTCAAGACAAAAGAAACCAACCGCGGAACCCCAGGACCCCCCCCCCCGGCCCATTCCCCCCGGCCCATTCCCCCCGCCCCATTCTGACACACCCCGGCTTGTGACCGAACAATCGGAATTCCCAAGCCATCCCCGCAAAGCCTTGGGATAGCCGGCGATGGCCAGGTGCCCGCAAAGCTCTTCCTTCTGGTTGTTCACCTCCACCGGATCGCCTCTCCAGACCTGCCGCTGGTGGGCTTTTCGAGTTTGTTTCAAGCGAGCTCTAGCGAGTCGAGTCTCGCAAAAGTATACCAGCATGGAAGCGCCTAGCCTGGTACGGCTGTGGCGGATCCGTGAATACAGCGAGGTCAAGCAGAATTCCCTCGTGGCGATCCTCGCACGATGCTTCCGAGAAGAAAAGGGCCCTCCCCCAGGGCTGTCCAATGCAGTCTGAAAAATGCCAAACCACCACAAAGGACTGTCTTCTTCAGAAAGAAACAGAAAGCATGACACATACATCCTGTTTGCTCCCAACATGAGGTGCCCCTCATGATTCCAACTGGCACGCTTGCCCCGTGGTGTGCTGCTTGGTGTGTGAAGTCAACAGGGGGTTGTGCCTGCCCTATGGTGAGTTGTTACTTCTGCTTTGCTTGTGAAGTTTGAACAGGGTGCCGAACTTAGCTTGGACACCGTGTTCTGCGCTCCGACCGCTCCACGTGTTCTGGAGAGAAGTCCTGGCCTGGACCTTGCGGCTTGACTGGCACAGTCACTGGACGCCTCCTTTGAGTTCTACTCAAGTCCAAGTCCAATCTTTGCTTCTCTCTGGTTTTGAGGCATGAACCAAACAAAAGAAGCCACTGAGTGGCCTTTCAAACAACCCGGTCAACTTCTCACAAACCTCGGTGCCAGCTGGTGCTTCTTGGTCCCTGATGCTCCTCTTTCAGAACGAATTTGAGTCTGGGAGGTCAGGACATTCGAGGACATTTGCCTTTCTGCCCTGTAGCTTCTTGTCTTGAAACCTACATACACACAAACACCCGACTAATAAACACATGCAAACACACACACACACACACACACACACATCGAGTGTTGTAGAGACTTGTGGGTGGGTCGAACTAGCGTCCATGTCCAAGTGTAGAAAGTGACCAAATACGTGTTCAACCCGGATCTAAATAGTGATTGACATGTTGTAATATGCTTATAAATATTATGTCAAATGCATTGAACCATTTATCAACAGCTCTGAAGATTAGTATAAGTGTTTAGACACATGCGTACAATGTATAAAGTTGTCTTCACAACATAGACATATTTAAACACAGTTCTAAGCATGTCAAGCACAAATGCAGACATGCTTGCGAATAGTCTAATAATGCATTTAAGTGGGCAAATAGATTTCCAAACGCAATCGAAACTCTTCAAATTGCTTACATCACGAAGGATTTGCTTAATCTGTTATGGCACTAGCTGCCAGGCATGTCAAGAAAGATGGAAGGACGTCGCTGGAGCGCGGAATGCCGGAAAGCCCTCTGAAAGCCTACAAGCTCCTGCACAAGCGACAACAAACGATGGAACTCGCACAGGCGAGCACGAGCCGAGCATGGAACGGGGAAGCCAAGACCACACACACCAAGACCACACACAATGGGGTCAATTCAACGATTCAACGCGGCGACATTGGGGGGCCAATACCTAGATCGCATTTGGCTAAGGGTACAAGTTACAACTCTCCGCATTCCCACAGCCCCGGCCCCAACCCCGAGATGCCAAAATAGCATCAAAAACTCATTGGCAATGGATTCCCTGTGGAATCCAGGGTAGGTTTCCAATAGTGGGGTTCAAATTGTTTTGTGCAAATGCACCTCTTAGACACATGCACTCCTCCATGAGCATCGCGTTCCAGGATGCCGTCAGGTGGTACTGCACCTGGGCACCGTTGGAACGCACGTGAGGCAAGTCTGTGGGGAATAGCCGCTTAAAACTGATTGGTAAATTGGGGCAATTGATCGGCAACTGCTTGGACAACATTTCCAGCCGAGCGTGAGAAAAGCCTGCTTACCTGACAAGGCAAAAACCTGGCTTTGTAGAAATATCATGTGATTTATGTCGTGGCTGGCGGGGTGCCGTATGTGGGTGTTTCTGAAAAAACACAACCCAAACAATATCCATAAGGTGGTTCCCCATCTTATGGCACTCCTGTTTGCCAACGTATTCACATTCGGGACCTCATTTTGATGTGGCAAGGGTCCGGCAAGCCACGAGGATGTTTTCGGGGTTCCTCTCCACCTCGAAATTCGGCATAGAAAGACACGAAGCAAAAAAGGGTGAGGCAATTTTGATCAGCCAGCCGGACCAGCTATCTGGGTTATGGAAAAAAAAAGAAGAAGCATCCAAGTGCCTACCCCAAAACGATTGAGGATTCATGGACAATGGCTTCGCTCATTCTCAGGACCCGGGAAGATTGAGCGGGGCTTCCCAGTTCTGGGTAATCCCCTCCCCCCCCCCAAGCCGTCTTGAAGCTATCTTGCTCCACCTTCAAAGAGGGTCATCGGATATCAAATGGCTTACCTTCTGTCAAGCCCTCCATTTCCGTCCTATGAATACACAGGCATGGTTTTGCCAAGTTGGTCAAAGCAGACTGATTCCCTCAACAGCAACCTCTGTAGCCATCCTGGCCGAGACACACCCATGCCGGCACGTGCCCCAAAGTTGCTTGGTTTGGGCCCCTTCTACACCCTGGTGCTGAAATGGCGTCTGACTTCGTCTGATGTTGCAAGAGGTGACGTTGTTGTAAGAGGTGCCAACCCCCTCCCCCTCCGGTACAAGAAAACAGAGAAACGAGATACGCTGGCCCCTGGGAGGATTGAGCCGTGCACAGAAGAGCGGCGCCCTTTTTGGACCAAGGGTCGGGAATTCTGGGGCCGAAAAGTACCAAAGCACATCCGGTAAGACGAGCAAAGGGATCCACCTGGAAAAAAGGACAAGGTTTCTCGGGATTACTTCAACTGTCTTGAGAACCAACAACGCATGCCCCCGGACCCCGGCTCAGAGCCAACTCTTGCAGGAATCCAGCCAGCTACAAGTAGTGCAAACTGTTCACCCTCCCAAAACTAGGATGACCCTGGGAAATATCCTTCACTTATTCAGGGACTCCTTCTGGAAGTTGGGAAATTCCTATGAAACAGGCACCCCCCCTGACTGCAATGCCCTTGTGAAGCTAAAGACGCGTTTCACGCCACACCCTCCCCACCCGGCCACCAAGGGCCCAGCATTTGGGTCGTAGGGCTTCCACTGCTCTGGACTGATCTGGGCGGAAAGAGGCTGGGATGCTAAGAAAAGGTTCGACCCTACGGAAAACATCCGGACGGCCCCAGGTATCCCTTTGGAACACTGGCACCGATGCAAATTGACTCCCCCATGACCAGCAACTTGTGCGAAGTGGATCTTGTCTGCCGACAGTAGGATCCACTTTTTGCTTTTGGGGGGGTTGTCTCGGGCTTTTAGTGAGGGTTCGTAACTATTGGAGGGAGAACCCCCTATTCATGGGACAGGTTTGTTACTCCGGGCTCAACATGGAGACCCTACAACGAAGAGTCCTGCAGTTGCCCCTTGCAACGGGGCACCGCGCCGGCAACTTCTGATCGAAGCCCAGCCACCACCATTCCCTCATGCGGGTTGACCCGCCCTGCAAGGCACAAAATCATGAAAGGCCTAGCCGAGGACAAAGCCAATACCATTTTTGATATGCATTTATACATATATATATATATATATATATACATGCTTATTCTGGTGAATATGAGTACATATACATTCATAGTTTGAATAAGGAAGGCCCTGGCATAGGGGACTCATGGAGGTTCTTGCGGTCTTATGCCTGTGTGTTGATTGAATGTACTCAGAGGGCCCCCTGGTTTGGAGCCGCCCTGAAGCCATGAACTGGACCGAGGATCTGGAAGTCGGTTGGCTCCCATGCCCACTTCACCTTAAAGGGGGTTCCCTTGCCATCACAGAAAATACGACAAGACCCATGTTCCCACAACCATGTGGTTGAACCAAAGTGCGGCAATCTGGACCCATCAACCGAAGGTGCAGACGAAGTCGAACATGAAGGGACGTCAAACATCGGGATGCCGGCAAAGGATAGATTACGCGGTCTTGGTGTTCTTTGAAATTTATCCAAAAAGCGAGTCCAGTCCATCTCGCTTTGACACCACATGATGCATTGGCCAGATTTGTCAGCGATGTCAACACTTCCCGGGGTTGGGCTGTTCAGGCTTCATGAATGCAACTTTTCGTGCGCCTCGACCCAGCGCAAGGAAGCGCATTTGCTGGATTATACTGTATGTCCTGTTCAGGAACGGCTGACGCGAACAAAGGCGGCGTACCCAGAAATGAGTCATCCACGCAAGAAAGAGTCGTACCATTCAAGTCAAGCATCGATTTTCCTCCATGGGGTCCTTCAACACAAAAGGATAAAGTGTCAAGCTGTACCAAGTTGTGTACTTTGCAAAATGCATGTAACGTATATATATATATATATATTATGTGAAATCGATTAACAACGTTGCACTTGACACCCCCGGCAAACTAAGCATTCTGCAAAAGACAATCCATGCTGACCCTCTTTTCCGCCTTTGCGGAACCAAACACATATCCAGCGATACATGTTACCGACATACAACCGTGGCATAACGCAGCAAGCACCCGAATTGGACCAGTGGATTACTCTCTCCCGTGGACTGTGGGCCGTCTGTGCGTTATGACATCCAACCAAGCACATGCCAGGGCACGCGCGCTGCCATGGTTGCAAGCAGATACAGGCAGTCTACAATTTCGCTGCGTGTTCAGTTGAGGTCTAGGGTACTTCAGTCAAATGTCGAGACTCGCCTGCGATTTGTGTATGTGGCTATAAAGTCTGTCATCTGCGTCTGTCTGCTGTGAACTGCGATGGTCTGAGTGCTTTCGTTTCGATTCAACTCAAAGCCGCAAACGAAAGCAATGTGAATTGAATGAAGGCTTACACAATGTACGGTTGAAGCTTTGGACAATCTTGCAGAGAAAGAAGGATACTCCTTCTAGTCACTAGTCACCTAATATATAGTTTGTGGCTAGCTTTGCTTGGGATATCTGGTCCTTCCACAGTCTTTACTTGCAGTCCCAGCGCAGACTGCCGTCAAACGGGCTAAGTGCCAAGTTGGGCAGATGTGCCGCTCGCGGAGACAAATGGCCGCAGTCGGCGAGTTGAATGCTAAGCCATAGTTCAAGAGCTAGCAATTGGCAAAGATTTAGTCAGGGTACACGAATACGTTGTTGACCCAAACTATCGCGAACCTAGGTTTACTTTGGTAACCCAGCATTTGAAACCGTCGGCATGACGAGCCGGTTGGTTTGTGAAAGACGGGCTTTTCAACTGCAAGGGAAAGCCCAAGAACATCCTCTTCATAGGGAAGCATCAATGGACGGGGGATGCAGGGTTGGCCCGCATTAAACCACTTCCGGGACCTTGGTCAATGTTCAACCCCAAATTAGGACTCAAGTATGTGCCACCAACATCACTTGTGGAGGAAAAAGAAGATGAGAGATCTGGTGTCAATTGGGACGGGTCAAAACTAAACCACCAGGAATTGGACCGCAGGCTGTAGTCCTTGTTTCCATTTGCTGGGGTTAGCCATTTTGGGTGCCTATTTTTGTCACCCACGCCCAATTGGCGATTCGTGAAACAAGAGAAAGCATGCCCATCCCCTTTAGGAAGCTCTAAACACAAGTGGTCGCTACTCAGCGCTCAGGGCTTCAGTCTATTGAACGAAAGCAAGGCATGGGTTTGTGATTTTCTTGAGTTGGTGGGTGGTTTGAATCGGAAGCCAGCAAGACCAAACGAGATCCACACAAACACCCAGGCCCACTAAACCAAAAGGAAAACCGAGACCTTTTTTTTGGGGGGGGGGGCCCTAACAAACACACAAAGACCCACTACGGTGTTTTCCCTCAGGATGGGTCTGGATCTAAAACTTTCCAAATGACCCCCTTCTTGGCCATCCACCTGGCCCTGCGCCAGGATCCGCTTCCGTTGCTGGTCCAGGCGGTCCCGCAGGAGCCGCCTGCGTGGGGTTCAAACCGGCGGTGAGGAAAACGGGGTCAAAAGAAAACCAAAGGCAAAACTTGGGAGGCGGAATCAAGCAAAAATGTTGAGGTGGTGTCAAAATAGGGGGGTCGACCCATTTTGGGAGGTCTTGGGATTCGCCTATTTTAAGAGATACGCATACACACAGTCCATTTGACCTCCCCTTGACTGCCACGCTTGGCATAGTGTCAACAGATCCACTACGTTTCACGTGGAGGAGGCCCGGAAACCGCTTAACGAACAGTTCGGCATGGGGCGTGACATGTTCGACATGTTCATGCCTCTAACATTCTGAAGGCTGACGGCCTTCCCAAAATCTCATTCAGTCTGGCGGCCGAGACATGAGAAGCTGAATCAGAAGCAAACCGACTTCGGCACCGCACATCATTGCAGGAACCATAATAACATGGCCACACAGGATATCTATAGGATATCTGTACCAAGGTTGCTCTAGGCTTTCCATTCTGGTCCAAAAAGCATATGGGTGTGTCTTTTGTGACTTTAAATGGCTTTGGTTGTCCTTTTGGTTTCCTTTGCCACGCCTGAGCCAGCATTGCAGCTCTGCTTGAGCTGCTTCCAGCGTCAGCACGTGATTGCAAGCTCCTGCCAGGGGCGTGGGTTGGCGGGGGTGGGGGAGGCCAGGAGTTTTTCACAAGATCCCGTTGTCTGGTTCGACAAAACTTGAAATAAGAAGCACTGAAAGCATCCTTGATAGGGCCTGGACTCACCAGGATCTCCGTTTCAATGCGGTCCCACCCATGGTCATGTCAGGTATGCGCCCAAGCCTCCTTCTCTAGAAGAGCCGAATGGGTGATGGCGATTCACGGTGGACAGCCCTGTTGAATGCTGCTTGGCAAACGGAAAGAAATCAACGAGCTTGGAACTCCACAGCAAGCTCATTGCAAATCATCATGGGGAACATCAATCTCAACATCACTAGTCGCCGGAAGCACCCCTCGCATAAGCTCTTCGGGAAGCTCGGGACTGGCTGGCATAAGCCGATTTTGCCAAGGGGCCTGCGCACTGGGAAAGTCATTGCCCCCTCACCCCCTTAGAGTGGCTAAATTACAGCCACAAAAAGTCCGAGCTTCGTTTCGTCCAGAAACTGGGCCCCACCTTTTTGAACTCTTGGGCTCTATGCTCAATGGTTACGACGCCAAGAGCGGCAAGGGGAATCTCACTTGAATCAAGACAAACATGAGCGTCTTCCTTGAGGGCAAGTACCCTTTCGGGGATTGGTTTGAAGCTTAAAGCCAAAAGGACACCATCCGCGGCAGGGGGTCCATCTGGAAACAACCCTGCCTAAGTCGACGGCGCGCAGGGCAACGAAGCGTGCAGGAGGGATCCAGAATCAGTATCTCCCGTTGCTGCATTTCTTGTTGTGAGAGATTTATGACGTAAGTGCAAGAGCAAACTATTCAAAGCACATGTCGTTCAATCTCGGATCCGGCAAGCAGGGTTTCCAGCAAACATCTGGCAGACAGCAACCATCGTGATGATGCCAGACCCAAGAAGATAGCCTTGATGCTCCCGCAGAAGGGTGCTTTGTGGGGGCCAAGTCATCAAGCCAGTAGAAGCTTGGTTTGGTCGGCGGCAAACCCGCTCCGAGCTAAACCACAAAAAGTAAAAGTTCGACAAATGTCCCACGAGAACATGGAACACTTGGATGCTTCGTCCCAGTGGCGTGTGTAATTCGAGGCTCCGGACCCCCATTTCTTCCTCCACAATATTGCGGATAGTCTCCCATTTCAGAGCAAACCTAGGCCTCATGATTGATTTGTGTATCTGGACTGTCTAACCCACGGGTCCTGACTTCGTGCGTGGTGCCGGCTCTTCGGGAGCCCAGAGAATTTCGTCAAGGACCTGCGTGGGGTCCGAGCCGAGCCCAGTCGTTTGCCACGAGCGCGAAGGGGTGTTGCTCTCTCGTGGTCACAGAAAGTGGGCACCAAACGGTGCCCTCGAACAAAAGCGGGTTCTTTCGGGTTCACCCCTAAAACCATCCAACAAGGTGTCCCTACCTTTGGGACACCCCTATGTCGGGCAGGGAGCGTGAACCAACAACACCGGCGCCAGTCTTTTGCACAAAGGAGGCTCGGCGAGCGCGCGAACACCCAGTCTTTTGCACAAGTTCAGCAGGCGGCGATGCACCCACTTGCCATGCTCAGGCCCGACCGGGTGTGTCTTTTTGTAGGCTACCCCAAAAAAATGTTGGCTTCCTGTTGGCCTCGTGAAAAACGCAGCAAAAAGGTACCCTCAAACAGAGACCCACCCAAGCAGCAAGCGGAGCACCTTTTCGCTTCACTAGCAGCACCAAGGCAAGCAGCGCAGAAGCGTGCGCGCTGGCCTGGCGAGGCTTTGAATCAAAGGCTCCCAGTCGATGGGCTTGTGCGGGCCCACCACCACCACCACCACCACCACCACCACCACCATCATCAAACATCGCGTCGGTTGTATCAATTCCGGCTTAAGTCCGTCGCTTGCCTGGAGGCTTTGAAGGCATCTGCCCGCCGGCCAGTAATGACCACGTTCTCCGGCGTCACAGCCTGCATTCACTCAGAGGCTCCAACCAAGACACATCCTTCAAAGAAAAGCACCAACACGAAACCATCCACTTGGGTGCAGATTTAGAACTTGAAAGGCCACATGTTCCCTGTGTCCACTCCAACGATTGCGGAGCTCAAGTGTATCAAAGAACTCCTCCCTGAACCAACCCGGTGCCTTGCTAATGTACTCCCGGATGGCAGCCTCGAGCCCAAGCTCCTGGATGTTCAGGCGAGACACACGTGTTTCTCAAAATATGAATCGGTTGACCGCTAACACGCTGGTGCTTCTTGAACAAGGGGTCGCCTGTAATGGTAAGGATGTCCTTTTGTTTCCCTGTAAATACCAACCATTTTGGGGTCCACCATTGTGAGAAACTCCCAAACAAGAAGGATCCGCGGAGACCTGAAACCCCATCAACGACCCATCTGGCAACTCAGCACCAAACAAATGGGGCTTTGCGTCACAGGCCGACGCACAATCAGAACCTCTCTTGCTGATTTCTTCAAGCCCATTCAGTTTTGACTGGCTGAATTCCGTCCATCTTGCTTGTTCTGAAGACAAACCGTGAGAGCGTGTTCAAGCAGTGTCATTTCGTCTAAGGTTGCCATTGAGCAGATTCGAAAACCCCAGCCTTTTTGTTGCTTTCCACGTCTGCGTGTGTGAATCAATGGCCATCCCACATCCCGTCATTTGCTCAGCCCTGATAGCCAGCCAAACAACTTCTCGTGCTTCGCGTTCCCAGTCGGGCGCCAAGCGTTTCACCACACCCTTCATCCGATTGACGAGGGTGGGCACCAACAAAGCCGAGCTCAGCAGCAACCCCGTCTTCCAGTTGGGGGAAGTAGGGGCGTATCCCACTTCTATTTGTACCCAGTCTTCTGGGGGGGAGGTCCCTTAAGCCACCACAGGGTTCCAGCCAGATTTCCCCCTTACCCCATTCAAAAGAAAACTCTCTGTAAATTGATGATGTTTAAAACCAAACATGGGAATCCCTGATTGGGTCTCTCTCTCTCTCTCTCTCTCTCTCCTCCCTCTCTCTCTCTCTCTCTCTCGCTCTCGCTCTCGCTCTCGCTCTCGCTCTCGCTCTCGCTCTCCATCTCTCTTCTTCTCTCTCTCTCTCTCTTTTTTGGAGGGTATTGTGGGGTTGGTTTGAAGGGAAAGGAGGAAACCACTCATTTTGGGGTTATCCCCAAACCCATTTGGGCTTTTAGGGGGACCCCCAAAATGGCTGTGTGTATGTGTGTGTGTGTGTGGTTTTTGAGGGTAGCCCCACGTACTCTTGTTGGGTGGTTTGAACGGCAACCATTGTCCGGCGCAATCCTAAATTGAAACAACCCCCCCTTTACCATTCTTGGGGGTCCAAACTCTAATTTGAGACAACCCCCCTTCTGAACCAACCCCAACCCCCGGCCTCTCGGAGCCAGGCGACACGACCCAAGTCCAGGATGCGCTTGGACATCATCCCCACCTCGCACTTCGAGCGGGAAATCTTTGGAGACGTCCGTTTTTTTCCGCACCCTAGTGGGCACCCCGGAAGAAAAACAAACTAGATGATTTTGATTCGGGGGTGTCCCTTTGTTCGGAGGGAGCACCCGCCAGGAAGGGTTCATTCATCCTGGGTCAACATTAACAATCATCAGGTTACAGGATTGGAGTGCCTCGCCATTTGGAGGACCCTGTCCTTTTTTCCCGAACCCCCCAACCCGATCGTGCTTTTGGGCTCATAAACCAAACGTCAAAGGAGAGAACTTGGGTTGTGTTCTTCATGCTTGTTTTGCCATGTTTGCTTGTCGGCTGTGCTTCCGTTCGGTTGCTTCTGTTGCCTCTAGATGTGGATACATGCATATCATATACGTCCACAGATATATCATATAGGCATATGACCGTTATATATACATATATAAAGCATAATAAAAATATTGTTGAATTTGAAGGGATCTGTACATCAGCATGTTCATGAATTCACACCAACTATGGCAGCACTCGGGATAAGCATATATACATATATATACATGACATATGATTGATCATGTATATTCTAAACACCGAAGGCAATACCCAACATCCGCTATGCAAGCCTCAGATTCTTTTGAATCTGCAAAAAGTTCCTTCAAGACTCTAGGAAGCATTCCTAGACTCTTCAAAGCACCACTCTGGTGCTACTGAGGCCTTATTCGCAAAACGGTGCCTCCTTTTTGCCTCATAAGGGTTAGTGCCAAAATGGGAGGATTGCCCAGCTCCACTGGGCAGCTCCCCTCAGCAGCTGATGGGAGTAGGATTGATGCCACTCCCACAGCGAGGGAGGAATCCTCCCACCTCACCGGATGCCCTCCCGGCATCATGGGTGAGGAAGGAAAGTAGCGAAGATCAGTGTGATCAATTCGCTTGCGACTGAGGGGAAGACCCGGTTCTCAGTCGGAAATTGCGGGTCCGGATGAGTAAGTTCATCCGCCCACGTGTTAAAGTCGCGCTTCACATGCGACGGCCCCAACATGACCTGCTGGTCATGCAGCGTTAGCACAATTTCCATGAGGATGGCCGCATTGGGCATCCTGCGAGTGGAATCGTTAAGAAGGGAGAAAACATTTCCCTGGTTATCACTAGCAACCAGGATCCTAGTGTGAGAAGCCGAGCCGGCTGCACAAAGCAGAACGGCCCTCACCAAAAGGAGGAGGCCGAAGAGCTCCAAGGCCGCTATCGCCCGCTGCGGGTCCCCAGTAGTGAAGGCCCACGGCTCGCCCTCCGGTGTGATTCTGTGCTGGAACCACTTCACACGGGACTTGTCGGGGTTGGGCACGTCCGAGCACCAACCACCAACCCATGCATGGTCTGCCTGTCTGCCAGCTCCCGCATCAGATGCCCCCGTCCATGGGAGTGTGGGAGCAAACGGAGATGCCAGTGGGAACCTCTGGTTGAAGAGTCTCCCCAAAAGGATGGCCAGAGCACGAACCAGCTTCGGTGGCCTGCCCGAAGTGGTGCAGGCCTTCTTCCAGCTCCAAAAGGGCTGGAGGAAAGGTTTCGTCAATGGGCATGCCGAAGTAGCCCATTGAATACGGCCTAGGGCTTGTTCCACCTCCTTGCTGGTGAAGATGTCCCCCTGGGCCAGCCGTTTAAGAGTGGCCAGGATTATGACGTGTTTGACTGGAGCCAACAGTACGCAGGGCGTGATTGGGTCCACCACAAAGCCCAACCAGGTATTGATCGGGGAGAGCGCCGTCTTTTTCCAGGAAAGCGGGACTCCCAGCGCCAGCAGTGTAGCCAGGATGGCTGTGGCGTCCCAGTCCGCCCGGCTGCATCTAAAAACCCAGCAGTAGTCGTCCACAAAGACTAAGTGCCAGTCCACCTGAGGGAAGATGTAGTACAAGAGTCTGAGCACCAAGGATGCCTTTCTTCCCCAGTACAGTTGTGCCGAGGCCATGCCGTACGTGCCCACTCTGTTGACCCACCACCGGTTTTGGATGCAGGCCACCTGGTATTTCCAGTCTTTCGGGAGCACTTTTATACGCCTGTGGGCCTTGGTGACATCCGCCTTGAGGATGATGAAGGTTTCCCCCTGTGTCGGCGGCTGCCACATCAGGGGTTCCACCCTGATCCCCCAGGGCGTTCCGTGCCCGGGGGGGTTGGGGGGAAGGGGGCCCTCCTATCAGGGCCCTCGGCACCTGGGAGTGGTCCCTTCCCTGAGGGTGTCGACCCCAGAGAGACGTCCAGGCCGCCGGAGGTATCCATCATCCCCCTGCCCCGATCAGGCCCCTCGGCCCTGGGGGGCAGGCTGGTGCTGTGGGGGTCCCTCTCAGGGCCCTCGGCACCTGGGGACTGCCCCTGCACCGGCTGGTGAACATCCCGAGGTCTCTCCTCAGTGCTCGAGAGCGTGGCTCGAAGTAGATGGGGATGGTCCGTCGCTGTCCTGAGCCAGTGGATGGCGTGGAGGCAGTCTCCAACCATCGGTGCAGTGGTCTTCTCCCCCGTATGAGCCTGGATGTGTGCGTTTGCTCCCCCTTTCGAGCCATCGTAGATCGTCCTGATCTTGTCTGACTCATCAATCCCCGCAAGGGGGCCCGGGCAAAGTTCCTCCGGTTTGCAGCGGCACCTCTCTGCCGCCTCCGACCGGGTGAAGGGCCCGTCCACCATGTCCAAGGCTCGTTCCTCGTAAAAGGTTGCCTCGATTTCACTGGCAAAGAGTTCAGCCGTTGGGTAGTTATCATGGGCCACCGGCGGGGGGGGGTCTTCCCCCCAGCCAGGCTTCTCCCTTAAGCTCCTCCTTAGTCGGCCAAAGTCCGGGAGAGGTCAAGGTAGGGTCCGAGACTCCCAAGGGGACCCCCTCTTTCAGTGTCAGGGGGAACTCCCAATCAGGGTCACCTGAAAGGGATGCCAAGTGCGAAACTAGGTCCAGGAGGAAGGGTTGCCCTGGGCATCGTTCATGGAGGTGCCTAGGTCCCAGGATAGCCCGCAGCTCATCGAGGTCGGCTTCCTGGAAGGGGTGTGTGGTGGCACCTGATGCCAGGGACATTCGGACCTTGTCAATCCAGGGCCGGGTGAGGGTCATGATCAGGGCGCCCAAAGTAGCCAAAGGGGAAATTCTCCGAAAGGGGGGGTTGAGCCTCCCCGGGGAAGGTTTCCACCCCCCATCCCTCAGGGGGCGTGAGCGGAAACCCAATTGGACAATCGCAACTCGGTCAATGAGGCGTGGGACCCTGAAAGCGGGCAGGCATTCGGGGCGGTCCAGGACCTGGTCCCCATGTTCTTCCTTCCCCAGTTGTTCCGCATCTCCGGCCATCGGGGGCATGGGAGATGGGAAGTCTGGGTTCATTGTTCCACGAGGGCTTACGGTGTCTGCCTCAAGGTGGATGTGCCCGTGCTGGCGGGGCTTCGGGGCATTCTTGCCTCCGGGCTTTGGGCCCTGGTGTGATGAGGAGGGACCGCCTCCCTGATTGGGTCCCCGTTTTCCCCGGGGGGAAGGGCCCTCCGGGGGCCCCCGCCCCTTAGGTGGTTCCTTAGGGTTTCCCGGGAATTGTGAGGGGATCCGGATGTGCCCCGGCGCTGCGAGTGACACAGCGATGGCTTTGGCCAGGCCATCATATCCCAAGGGTATCTGCTAAGAGTCGAGGACTCGTTGGTGCCCACATGCACCGCATTTGATCCCACTCCTGAATTGGGAGATCCGTGGCTAGCGTAGTGGCCTTCTTGACCAGCTGGCCCAGGCGGCACTGGTCGAAGGAGATTGCTGTCAAGGAGTTTGCCTCCATCCAAAGCTGCCCCTCCTCCGTGATCCAGAAGGATGAGCATTCCTTGGCTTTGGGCAGCGAGCTGCTCACCACTGGGTCCTCCGGGTGCTCCAAGAAGGACTTTGGCCCTGGCAGAGAAACCGCCGCTCTTGAGGCCCTTGCCAGGCTGGTGATGTACATCTGCCTCAAGATTGGGGGCCCCCGGTTTTGGTATGTGGCGCAGGATGGACCATGTCCTGCAGTTGGGTCCTCCTCCAATGAAGACCACTCGGCCCTGCTTTGCTGCCGTGCAGAGAGCTCCATATAGCTCGGGTTGGAGCATGTCGTGGTTCCCTTTTGGTCCCGATTGTAGGATGTCTACCGCCACCACCATGCTGGAAAGGTGTGGGTAGTTGGCATGAAGACAGCTGTCCAAGGAAGTTGGGTCTTCCTTGCCTGCATAGAGCAGGACAATAATGGGCCCACTGGATGGAACTTTGGGTGATGTGCCCTGTGTCCATCTCAGCCGCTGTACCAAACGCTCCGGGATGTTTTCCATCCACGGGAAGATGTTCCCTCCCGGTGACGGCTCCGTGGGACTTGTCAGGGGGGTAGCTGAAAGGCGCTGGCCCCCTTCATTCAGCCCAACCGAGCTCTTATAAAAAACCACCGGGTCCTGCTTGATGATGTTGGGCGCCGGAAGTGGGATCGGCTGCCTCCTGGGCGTGTTCCTTGGCGTTGCGGTGTGCTGCCAGTTATCCGGCAATCGGGCCTGCTGGGCGCGGCCCCCCGTGTCAGGGCCCTTGGCACCTGCAGGGAACCGTCCCGTCCCTGCCGTTTCAGGGCCCTCGGCACCCGTGGCTCGGGGCTGAGGCGCCGCCGTTGTGCCAGCTGTGTGGTTGTTCTGACCCCAGCGAGGGTGTTGTGCACGCTGGTTCTGCCGTCCCCATCCTTGTTCCGCCGAGGATGGCCGCCACCTGGCCTGTCCCCCCCCTGTGTCAGGGCCCTCGGCACCTGCAGGAGGGGGCTCATGTGCCTGCTTGGGGCGTTTGCGCCCCCTCTCGCCCCCCGGGCCTTATCAGGGCCCTCGGCACCTGAGGCCTCCCGGGGGGTCGGGGTCAGCGCCCCTAGTCAACCCGGGCAGTCCTGCGGGAGGTGGTCTCCCAGGCAGATGCGGCCCGTTGCCAGGATGAGGTTGCACTTGTGGGTGCGTCCGCAGTTGCCCGGGCAGCGCCCGCGCATCCAGTTGTTACAGAACTGGTTCCCT